CCTCCCTACTCCGATTAAAGGGTGCTGTCTCTAGCAGAAAAAAAAAAAAAAAGAGAGAGAGCAAAGCAGCTGTAATTCTTTGAAAGGAAAACAGGACAGAAAACAATCTATAAAAGGCCCTTTGTGGTAATTTATCACACATGTTTGTTTCTTTGCATGAAATAGCTTCAGAGCAGAACCAGTGCCAGATTCCTGTGTTGCAGTCAGAGCCACCAACACAGATCTGTTTCCATTTCCAATCTTCACTTATATTGGCTAAGACCAAGTCACGAGGCAGAAATCTCCCCTCTGAATTTCAACAACAGGCACAGTCTGACCTTGTTCCCAGAACTGGAAACAGCTCCGCTCACTTGCTTCCCCCTCCTCCCCAAGCCACAACGCAAGGCACCCAGAAACGACAGCTTGCTTTGGCTCCGCAGCTTGCCATGTGCTTTCATCATACCCTGGGGACTTGTTACTGAAAAAGGCTTCAAAGCCAAGAGGCAAGGCTTCATGGAGCGCTGTCCCAGGCAGTAAAATCCCCAGAGGTCCTGTTTACGCCTCGCACGGGTGCTGAGGATCCCCATTTCCTGCCCTGCCATCAGATCACACCAGCCCCACACACACAGGTGTCCTGGGAGATTTCAACACCCACTAAAGCACCCCAAGCCACAGTACCTTGGGAGCATGCCCACCCCACACGCTGCAGGGAGTCCCTTCAGGGCCACCTTGCTACCAAGTCAAACTATAACCTGCCCGGGGTGGCCGAGGACCAGCTCACCTACCAGCGGGTTTGACCCATTTCCTGGAGCGCTTCGGGTCACTTGCAGCTGGCAGGAGAAGAAGTCACCTTGCTTTGACTTGCGCGTGCACGTGCAGTCAGTGTCTGTGTCAGCCAGAACAGGCTTACTTGGCACCAGAACTTGATTAGTGCTCACCGCCTATGTAATGAATGGCCTTAAAAAGGTCTTCGAGCCTCCCCTTTCAGCACTTTAGCCTCTCACAACGCAGAGCACAATGCACACAAGCCACATTGCCTGGAGACTGCAAGCATGGACCCATCGTCCCTGTGTGGAGGACCCTCAAGAGATCACCATGCCACCAAAGAAGATTGCTCTCAACACGCCAATCGTGAGCACCACAGCTTGCAAGCAGGACCATGCAGGGACAAAAAGTTGCCAATGAGCAAAATACACCTGCTTTAAACAGTCATGACCACAGCTCTGCAGTGATGCAGGTGAAGTGCTCCCCTCCCAGTTTACACTACTTTTAACCCCATTCACATGGCTCAGGTACCGAAATGCCTCTGTGCAGCTCTGCAGGGAGGCACAAGCAGCTACATCTGGGTTTGAGAAGTCAGCCCTGAAGCCACCTCAGCTCTTTACAAAGCACTGTCTGGAGGGCACGGGCTCCACCTGAGGTCTTCCTGTGTGAACTCACAGCATAGCTACTTGCTTCAGACCTCCTCAAGGCTTGGATTTCTTCTTGAAAGATTTGACCTTTTTCCTGCTGTTGTACTTTCTCAGTGCTGTGCAACTGGCTCACTAACGAGGCCACTAATAAGTGTCTTTAGCTCCCTTCTTCTGGTGCTAAAAGCCACAGTACAGCACATCCAGTCTATTTCTGCCCTACCCTTGCTCTCCTTCCTATCATCACCAGTGGCTCTAAAATCTGTGACCCCTTAATAACCACCCAGAGAGACAATAACCAATGCTGGCAGCAGCAGGATGGGAATCCTCTCCCACAGCAGTACTGATGTGCTCCTCTCTTCCTTGCTTTTATTTGAAGCATGGCAGGATGACATTTGCCCCACAGTTCTTTGGGATCATGGCCAAGGCTTCCAGTGAAGAATGCTACACACAAAGGAGAGACAGACATCTGCACAGAGTTTTGAAAGCCTTGAATATATGAAAGCAACAGCAGCAGCAACATCATGGTACACAGAGTGATCTCTAAACCCAGCCTCTGCCAAACTTAAGCCTCAGGAGTCCAGCCAACATCTAAGCCTTGTTCAGCCAGCACCTACACCTTGTTAAGTTAGAGGTAACCTTAAAGTTTGACTTCAACAGCAAGTTTGAGGTAATGCAGTCCAAATCTGTAAGATTTCAACTACAGCTCAAGAAACATCAGCACTTCCTAGATTGTTTTCTACTTGGAGGACAATACTAGTTCTGTCTCCAGACAAAAAGAACCTCAAAATGCAGAGATCCAGCTGACAGTTGTTGACCAGTGCTTGCAATATAACCCATGGTCTAAACAGATCCAAGCAGGCTGCACAGATGGACCTGGGTGCATTCAGCAACATGGCATTTCTAAGGAAACCTGGAAGGGGCTCTCACCCTTCTGAGAACAAAAGCATCTGTGCTCAAGAACAGCCATTTTCTGGGGCAAGATGCAAACTGTACTTGTAGAAAGCTGGTCATACCCAGCTGCAAGGGTTTGTGCCCTGCTGATTCTTCCTGCACTATGTCAATGCTAAATCCAGTGCAAACACAAGACCAGTCTGTGCCAGCTAGCTGAGCACTGCATGTACAGGCAAATACCAATCTGAGTCCTAGACAAAAACACTTTTTTCCTCCCCTCACCTTCATCTGACATGCAAGGGGCACGGGAAAAAAAAAAAAAAAAAAACAGTTAAAGGGGAAAAAAAAAAAAAGGCCTTAGAATAATCACCTAGAACTCAGCCTTTCAGGAAAGAAGTGACTGACTCTTTGTATAAAACAAAACCACGTGCTATTCAAGCCACAGGCAAAAGATCCACTTTGTTCTCTCCTGTTAGCCCAGCTCACAGCCACAGTAAGGAATAAAATAGAGTCAGGTAATAACTGATCACTTACTGTAAGCGATGTGAAGGTCATGCACATCCCACCAAAGCCATTCAGAGCCAGCGCGATGAATATCAACACAGATAAAGCTGAAACAATAAAATAAATTTTAAAATGCCCTTAGCTTTAACTGGGGTGGGGAGGGAAAGGAGACAGAGGCCCGAGGGCTTTGGTCCTGACAGGTAAAAACCTCAGTGAACCAACAATTTCAGGACGTGCCAGCACCCACCTCCCCAGCCACACAGAGGGCAAGGGCCAGGGCTCACCTTCAGGACAGAGTTCAGGATACAATCATTACTCTCCAGGATAGAAGGGTTTCTTTCCTATAATGAACAGACTTGCTGATGCAGCTTGTCTGAATGGGTCTTAAAAGGAAGATTCACTTGGAATAACTGGATTCAAGGCATCATCTCACCACCCAGTGATGAGAAGCAAGCTCCATTTATCCCTGGTGAGAAAGCCAACTACACATTGTGTGCTACTACCTATTTCCCAACCCTGAAAAGGACAGGAACTTGTTTGGAATTGCTTCGTTACAGGACTTGACTCTGCCTGAACACAAAGCTGAAAGACCTGGCTATCTCAGACGTTTGGCTCTTGCCACATTCTCTACTTCGGGCTGTGAAACTCCAGCCCTCCCCAGAGCCACCTCGCTCCCACAGGCCAGCAAATGCTTGGCTTGTGTCCTCAGCAAGACCCCAGTACAGCACTGGTGGTGCGACAGTCAGAGCACACAGTGCCATGCACGCTTGTCTGCTTCCCCAAAAAACCTCCAGGCCACAGCCCCAAAGCCCTCCCAGCTCAGCAGAGAAATGCCTACTCACAGTCTGGGTTACTGGCACCATATGCGATCAGCACACAGGACACAGCAAAGCAGGCACTGAAAGGGAACCAAAACCATGAGTTTCTTACAGATAGCCTTATACAACAAATGAGACCTGCTTCTACCTCCTGAGCACCTCACAGCCTTTACTTGCTCCTCTCTGTTAGAGTCTGACTCAAGAGACTTGCCCTGTTTTCTCCACTATGACTACAGGCCACTTTGGCTTCCATGCATTGAAGTTCAGCAGCGCTGGGTTCCACTGTGCCCAGCGAGTCACTAATCCCTACATACCATGATGGAGGCAGCTAACAAGGTTACTGTTTGAGGCAGAAACACCACACAGCAGAGAAGAGCACTAGACAAAGCATGTTTATCCCCGAGTTAACTCCTCAGCTTGCAAACAATGATGTAACATCTTGGTTTTGTGCCTCTCAGGACATAGCTCCCAGCTCAAGGAAAAAGTTCCCCTCCGTGACTCACAAATGACTCCACTGTTCCTCCAGGCTCTGTGTGGCCCGGGAGCACAGCACAACATTGAAGAGCTGAAGTGTGGACATGGAGTCCCAAGCCCTGCCCTTATGGAGCAATTCACTGTGCTGGCCAAAACCATCCCAGAGCCGCTCCAGTGTGCTGTGCATGGCCAGCAGCTTCCAGGTTCATCCCTCAAACAGCTCCCAAGGCTGTAGGGAGCCCACAACAGGCACAGCACCCCATCAGCACCCAACTGCCCCAGACAACACGTGAATTCACCCCTCAGCCCACGACACCAACCTGCCAAGTAGTCGCAGCTTGCGAGGGCCATACTTATCCATGACAATTCCCAGGGGCAGCGTGATTGCACTGAGCAGGAAGGACCCAATGGTGAAGGCCAAGTTCAGCATTTCATCCTGGGCGTTGCAGGAAGGCCACCTGTGCTCTGAAGCTGTGCTGTTCTCGTATTCAGGGCTGCTGGTGGCATTTTCTACATCAAAAAAACAGAGGATCATCATTGCGGTGTGCTAGGACAAGGCTTGCAGCATTGCAGGCAGAAGGGAAGAGAAAAGCCCTGCACACAGGGTCCCCCAACACACTGGGAATACACCCTCCACAGTCCATTTGTTACTCCAATCAGTGAAAAGCAGAGAAGAAAAAAAGAAGGACAAGGGAAAGCTGACAAGCTCAGCTGGGAGCAGGAAAAGGATGGGCAGGCGCCCAGAGACAAGTATCCCGAGGACCTGCAAGGTAACAACCTAAGGACATAGGTTCATTAATTTAGGGAAATAATCATACAGCAAAGCCTTGGCAATTACAGGGGACTAAACCCAGCAGAATCTGAAGGGACTAACACAAAAATAAAGTCCTTCTAATCTACAACTGGCACATTCCCACAGCTCTTTTCCCTACTAACTAAACTGGGAGTGATAACTGCAGCAAAATCGGTTATTCTGGGTCCAGACACCGGGCTGACAAGGCCTGGCACAAAGCAACAGCCTGCTCCAACAAAAAATCCTGACTGCAGGCATCAGGATGAGGAATGGCTTTGCAGTAGCCACCCTGCCTCCTGACTGCCCTGACTTTGAAAAATCCTTCCCAGATTTAACTACCTCATTCCCAGGAAAGCTGGCAGCTCACTTGCCTTCTCTATTTGTTAAAGGATTGATGCATCTTTGACTTCTACCCCATAATTAGCATTTTCTACTTCTTCCAAGTGAGTTTAGGCCATAGAGATCAAATCTATCTCCAGCTTTCTGTTCTTGCCCTTACATGAGGAACTCTGCATGAAAACTCCCACGCTGAACAGAGCCCATGTTGTGTAAGAGACAGAAACAGGACAGTTTGGAGGGGGGAAAAAAGTTCCTTTTTCTTTGCAGGAGCAGTTTTACTGCCTCATGTCAGCTCTGCTCCTGTTACAAGCCTACCCCGAGGTAGCTTACAACTCAAGCGAGCACGTGGGCCTTTAGACTTTCATTAACCCAGAGCTCTAGTGCACTCCACTTCTCCCAACGCTTATCTGACTTAGAAGTAACCTTTGCTGGTATGACAAAGCACTTGCTTGCTTACTGCTGCTCCAAGCCAGTGACATAAAATGCTGTCCTCCATATTTAATAATACTGAACTTTGTCAAATCAATTAAAGAAGGAATAGAGAGAGTAGTCACCTGCATAACTGCCTGCATAAAGCGTGACTAGAGATTCCCAGCAAGCCCTGATTTAGTTAGTTACCAGGAATCCCTCATGTACAAGTGACTTTACATTCACTGCTTGGTGCAACTTGTGAAGGAGATCCCCTTGATGTCTCTTGCTCTCGCTGCCTCTCTGGAAATCACACAGCCCCATCTTGCAACTCTCTCCCCTCCACCCAAACCTCAGCACCATTACAGTTACTGGTTTCACCCCGGTTCTCCCAGCTGGCCAAAACAACTCTCCCAGCTTTGTGTTCACTGCAAACAAATCACACCTCACCTTCCAGACATCAGGTATTAGCAGGAATTCAGATGCTGGTATCTGAGGCTTTCAAGCTGCCTGTAAACCTTCCTCTGTCCCCTCCCAGCACTCCAGGGAGGGCACACAGCATTTCTCTCCATTTACATCGCTCTCAACAACACCTTTACTAAGATGGTCTCAAACTGCCTGCAGCAGGTTATGACCGTTTGTTCCTTCTCTTTGCCATGTGCTCCTGATTTGATAGCTTCATCTGTCCTTTCTTTTGCCCTGCTAGTCATAGATAGCCAGGGTAAGTGACAGAGATATCCGCAAAAGGCCACATGTCCCATGAGCAGCCCTTTTGCAAGGAGGATAGCACTTCAGTCTGAGGCTCCCAAGTCACATCCTTCAAAATCAGTCCTGGACAGACTCGGGAGCTTCTCTGCAATTTTCACACTGCATCTTAATCTTTTCTTAACTCATTTTTCCCCTCACAATCGCCTCATGGCGTAGCCCAGGATCTTAAAACACTGCCTTCTGACAGCATCTGCATGAGGCACAGGCACACAGCTTCATGCACAAAGATAAATTCATAGGAAACAGATGTGGGTGAGAGGTTAAACTTGGGAAAACAAGGGGGGGAAAAAAGAGGGACAAAGTAGTAGAGATTTCCCTGTGTCAGCACTCTACAGAGATAGCTCAGCTGTGGAGTGGAAGAAGGGTGGAGAGACATGGACAGTGCAGTGACCTTATAACTTCTGGCTGCACGTGTTAAGTGCCTGTCAGCTCCCTCAAAAGAGGTCTCAAAACAAAAATATTCAGCATTTAAAGCCAGAGTGGCTGAATTACTGCTAAAGTATTGACATGTACAGCTGCAACATGACCCCAAGGAGCTACTACAGCACACGCCTGCTAGCAGATCTTCTGATGATATGCACGATGAGCAGTAACACCAGGAGGCAAGGAGGACAAAGCTCAGAAACAGCAAGGAAACTTGTCCCTCCTCAGAAAGCTTGTTGCAGCCAGGAAGAGTGGGAACAAGGCACCAAACTTCAGTCCCGGCTTGTACCAACCACCTTGTTTACAGCTGCTCATTGCCAACTACAAGGAGGGGCCAGGCAACAGTGCTATGTGGAAATACAAATTGTTTGTGAAAATAGAAGCAGCCTCTGAGCAACAAGAGAAGAGCCACTGAGGCGTAATGGAAATGATTCAAGCAGCCCTTGGCACCCTGACATCCTTCGATCCTTTGAGCCACCTCCAGAAATAGAACATTTTGGAGGGGCTGCAGGTGTGTGCAGCATGAATACGGTCCAGCCAAGAGCCATCTCACTGGGGAGCACGGATTCATGTGCCAGCAGGTCACCAGCATGTGACATGCAGCTAGGAGGAGATTAATGGGCAGAGAACCTGCCTAACTACTCACCTACCTAATGCACCTGGTTACAGCAAACAGCAGTTTCCCTCAATCACAGCTCAGATCCCGTCAGTACACACCACTCCGCCGGGAAAAGTCTCCTACGTGCCTGGCCCCATCTCCAACAGTGCTTTGGGGAAGGGCTGTCTCTGTGCTGACAGTGGTGCCCTCCTCAAATTCTTCTGCCAAGTCCAGCAGCATGCAAGCACGCCAGGTCTGACACGCAGGAGTGCCACCCGGGTAAGCCAGCAGCACAGGCTGGGTCCACGTACGCTCACCACTGCCTCACGGTTGAGCTGGAAGAAGCTGCAAGTCTTTAGCAGCAATTACAAGAACATACTGCCTATTTTTACAGCTCTCCCCCTACAAGCAGCAGGATTTCTAGTGCCCAATTAGTAGTTCAAGTTACTATTTAAAGAATGACAGCTTAGGTGAGAGGAAGGCTGCCTCGGCAATCATTTATGTCAAGCTCATCGCTGGGATTTGTTCGGGCTCTTACTAGAACATTTAAAGCCATCCTTTCTCCTAAATTAAGTGCTGTAGGTTTCATGAGAGGGTCAATCATTAACTACTCTTTGCTGACCTCTTCAAATCCCAGGCACACACCACATTACCAAAGGAACGAGTCTGGCTTTTTCAAAAGCGACTGCCTTCTCAGACAACAGAGAGGAAATTTCCTTTCATCTTGTTTCATGGATCAGACTGAGCCAAGCTGGGAAGACACCCCCAGCTGCCCTGGCAATAGCAGTTGTACACAGCCTGCATACTCTCCCTTTCGTCCCCATCCTCCTCTTTTTTTTTTTTTAAATAAAAAAGGCAGCAGTGGAAAGAAATCAGGGCCAAAGAGTATGTGAGCATTGGTTTAAAAAAAAAAATTGACAGTGAAAGACATGTGCAAACAACTGATCTGCAGTCTGCCCACATAAGAACATGTTTTCTCTTTTCAGGATGGTGTCATACTTCTGGGAACTGGGAGGAGATGTTCTTGGTTTATACCACTGCAAACGCAATTTATTCGGGTTTCCCTCTCTGCCTGTCCCATCCACCTGCACCTCCAGGAGCCCTGCTCTGGGCACCCAGCTGAAAGCCTCACATAACTGCAGCACAGTCTCCAGTTAAACTCTTCTCTCCCCAGCTGTGGTTTCATTTTCCATCAATTCTCACCCAGGGCCAGCACCTTCCCATGCAGCCCTCTGATACCAGCAACAGCTGCTAACCAGCACAGCGTGTTTCCTGTAAAAATTCAACGTTTACTCTTTTCCTGTCTACAGGTCACGTGTGCAGCCTTTGCACGAGCCATCCTCACATCTTACCCGTTTGGAAGAAACCTTCAAACTAAAAGTTCCCCGCCCAAGACCCCAAATAAATAAGAACAAAGAGCTGTAAAGCAGTACCTTCCTCCTACACCCCTGCCATAAGTGAATTAGCTTATCGCCCCTTTGTTTTTCTGCAGTTCTGCCTTTCTATGTCCAACCAGCTTCTTATCTCTGCTCTTCTTATCAAGTTTTAAGATTTTTTTTTTAAACATGTCTCAGACCCTTGAGCTTCCCAATCCCAGTGACATCGTAGTAATGCAAGACTCTGAACAGCTCAAGTTCCCCAACAGCTGATAAGGTCCAAATCCTGGTAAGACTGCCGAATCAGCACTGAATAAAAGATGCTGCTTCAGTTGGTTAAAGGCCAAGTGGTAGTGTAGTAAAATTAAAATGAGAACAAAGTGCCACTACGAGACTCCTTGTCAGCAAATTTCAAACATACCTCTCAGGATGTGGCCAAACCAACCAAGAATCCAGCAGACCTCAAATGTTTGCATAGTGGCCAACTAAAATCCAATACCAGGAGCCAAGGACAGGCAAGGAAAGTGGGGGATTCAACAGGAAGACATGAAGCCCTTCATGAATTGCAGTCACTGTCCTTGGCAGCTGCTGCTGCTGCCTTCAGAAAAGAACCTGCAGAAGGGACAAGGTCTAGTTCTCTCTTTCATTGGAAGGCATCACAAAGAGCAAGAGCTTTTGCTGACAAATGAAAAGCCCTGCCAAGAACCTTTGGCTCATTAGGAAAAGGTTTGTTTTTTGTGGTGTGGATTTTTTTTGCAACACTTACATGCACACAGCAGCATTAGGAACAAGTGCCCAAAGGCTACTAGTTGTAATTTGTTTGCACCCAGCTTCAAGCCAAGCACCCACATAGGCTGCAAGATTCAATAGGTTACGCTGAGAAAGGCACTGGGCCATCCTAATCCCAGCAAAGGTCAAGTTCAGCTTGGTGTTGGTCATTCAGTGACCACTGCAGGGCAGCTGTGAGGGAGTTTGGTCTCCCCATGCTTAGAGCTGGACTCTTCCCCACAAAACCACTGAGATTATTACAATGAAGACAAAAACAAAAAGGCAAACCAGTAAGCACAGATGAACCAGAAAACCAGCCTAACTGGTCCTCCACGCTCATCACAAGCCATCACAGTTCAGCAGTGACGACCAGATATTTGAGGACAATGAGAACATTCCACTACAAAAATTTCTTTTCAGGGATTAAATTCTCTTGCCTCAAGGCACAGGCTGGTCACTGGGAGGAAGAGATTGCCCCCAGGGCAGCAATTTCGCCACCTTCCAAATATTTGCATCTTCCCTGTGGTCTGTGGCATGGGCACTCCCATGGGGAGAACCAGACAAACCACAGATTGACAAACATGGGTGAGAAGACAAGGTGAATCTCCCCGATTTGAGGCAAAGGCAGATGAATTGAAAACAATCAAAGCAAAGAGTAGGAGGTGGGCCCCAAGTGAAACTAAGCTTGTCAGCAGGTCACATCTCAGGAAGCAGATAGGAACATGGCTCCTTTCAGAGACAGTCAGCAGTTGCTTATCAACTCTCGTGGTTTTTATCTCAGTGGCAGAAAGCCTCCGCCTGATCCATTTAATGAGTTCTCTTACACAGGCCCGTGACAAAGTCACAATGGCTTGGCGAGAACAGAACAGCCTTGAGCAGAAGCCCTAAACAGCCTCCCTCACGCAGTCTGGAGTGCTCCTGGAGACCCAAGTGACCCGGACACACTTGGAAGCATCACCCCACAAAGCGGCGCACAGGATGGATGTTAAGGAGCCAGGCTACAGCTGGCAGAAGACGCAAACACAAGCATGTTTGCCATGTGTACCAACCCAGGGTCTAGAATACTGAGACAGCCTCCCACAAGCACACAAAGCAGAAGAGAAGATCATTACAAGCCACTAACGAATGAGGAAATAAAACAAAACAACTAAGTATCATAACTATTTACAGTCATTTTTTGCTCGGACTTTGCTTCCCAACATTTCGGATTTCCCCTCCTGCTATTCTCAGCCATTACCCACAGAGGGTGCATGCACTTATTTTCAACTCCTCTTCCATTACTGCTTCACCCTCCAACCCCACGTTCACCAGCCCTGAATGGGCTGATCCACCTTCTCCTCTCATCCACCATCACACACCTCTGGACTGAGCCCACACATGTAGCTCCTCCCTTTCTTCACTGCTATTCCTTTCTCTGAGTGAATGCAAACCTCCTGCCACTAAAGTGGCTTTTCAAATCCATGCCACACCTTCGCCCTCAGGCTCTTTTTTAACCCCGCTGTCCACCCTACCACACCATGGGATTCCCCACACCAGGGATTTATGTCCACCTACATGTTGTTTTTCCCAGGCTTAACCTTCCTACACCACAGGTTGCTTCCTTCCCTGCAAGGCTGTCTCTGCAACATGAACAACCGCTTCCTCTGGCTGGGCCAGAAGGTGGATCTCAAGCTCTTGTAGAGACACAGCCTGGTCTGAGCACATCCTGGGTGTCTGAAGAGGAAGGGGGAAAAAACATCAGCAACGTTTACTTCTGCAACTTCTCAACAGCAGCACTGAACGCCCCAACCTGATCGTCGCCCACACTCTTTTCTTACCTGCCACTAAGGGAAGGGTGCCTATAGTCTTCCCCTACAAATTCAGGACACTTACCACAAACCACCATCTTCCAGAGCCCATCAGGCCTTCCTTTACAGAGATCAGCCAAGCCATCATGCAGAGGAAGAACTCATGGCCAAGTAGAAAAGCCTGTCCAGAAAAACCCTACCTGATCTTTAAGGCTTTTTTTCACCAATCATTCTGCAAAGCAATGGCAACTACAGGCATATCACACCATCACAACACTTTGGAAAGGAGCGCGCATCCCTTCCTCCTACCCCAGGGCTGACCTGGAGCTCAGCTCTACTCTAGCCTCTTCCACAACACACTAAGACAGGGAACCACACCAGCAAGTCTCAGCAGCAACTTATTCACTCAAGTCTCCAGAGCATCCTTACCTGACTCAGAGCACAGGTAGGAATAAAACCCTTCTGCTTTCAGCATGATGAGGAGGGACCCCCAGCCCAGCAGGACAGCAGAGAAGAGTAGGTTCTCAACGATGGCTGTAGATGCCATCCACCAGCGGCGGCGATGGGCAGTAGCAAGTGTGGGTGCCATGGCTGTGCGGCAAGATGGCCTTAGCTAGAATCTCAACCTGCAGGAACCAGAACAACATCCAGTGAGTCCACAGACATAGCACATGCTCAAAGAGTGCAAAAAAGCATTGTTTAAGAGATCTCTCTACTGCAACACAAGAAACCCATCTACTGAATGTGAGGCACTTGGGAGCAAAACTTGTTTTTGCAGGTATCCGACTGCCCAGTTACCAGGAGGGATGGGGGAGCAGAGGTGCCCTCAGAGCAGCCCCTCCAGTGCACACACCATGTGACAGGGGAGCGTTCAAGGGCTCCGTTCTGCTTCCTGAGCGACAGGTATGAAAATGCACAGACATCAACTGCCTGGAGCCCACTCCCCCATCACCTGTACAGCGCAGGCAGTGCATTTGTGAGGCAGTGAGGAATCACGTGTCAGAACAGGGGGCTTCAGCCAGCACCCCAATCTCCCAGTTGCTTGCAGACAGAGGCTGGGACCAGGGAAGCAGCCCCACAGCCCTAAGAGCTGTTTTAGTGGCCCATCAGTTCTGCTCCGCTCCACAGTGCACCACAAATCTGCTCTGAAAGGTGAGCAGGGGTCCTGTGTGTGCCATGGGTCCTATATGTGCAGTTTATACCACAATGGGTTCATCAAGGAGCACTTTTTGCTAACTGCCAGATTGCCCAGCTGGGAGACAAGGCAGGTCACATCCTGCCCCATCCCAGCTTGCGGGCAGCCAGGAGCAGCGCATGGCACACGCTGCTCCGCCTCAGCTCACCGGCATCCCCGGGCTCCCCACAGATGCTTGCAGCCAGATTAACTGTCTCCAGCTCTACCTGTCCGGGTCTTAGAGGCTCATAAGAGGGAGCAGCAGATTTGGGAGCAGAC